CCTTGCAAAAAACAAAAGGGGGTGGCCTGACCCACGGCGAAGCAGCGGCGCGGCGGATTGAGTCTTAAACTGGGTTTTGGAGAGCGGGGGACTGAACTGGAGCCCTCGGTCCAAGTTAAAACGGGCTGTCTTCTCCTCGCTGCTCTGTGCCATCAAATGCTTTCCTACAGGTCTGGACTCGGAGTTAATACACCCTCTTCTTCCCTGTAGGAACAACCAGACAGAGCTGTCACCTCATTCCGTGGTCGGCAGGTACCATCAAATCCTTCTCCTCCTCCCAACAGGTGCCTGGGCGGCGGAGCGGCGTCGAGGCGGCGGATGGGTGGGAGGCGTCCCGCGGCGGGGCGGCGGGCCGGCGGCCGGCCCTGGCATCCCCGGCCTGACCCTCCTGTTTTCTGCGGCAGCGGCTGAAGCATGAACTCCTTGGTAGCTGGCGTAAGGCCAGATGCATCCAATAATCCTCCCAGCCTCAAGCTGCAGCAGGTGGCCAGCTCGCTAATCCGGCAAGTTTAATCGTCTCCTTTGCTTTGCTTTTGCAGGTCTGGCAGGATGACTTGTTGCCAGGTGGTTGCTGCGCTCTTGCTTGCCTTTCTTCACAGCGCTGCAGCTGGTGACCCGATTCCTGCTCTCGTTCCCCAGTCCACGCGGCAGCTAGCCAAACCGCGGTTCTCGGCACAGCCCGTCCTGGAGCTGACGACACGCTGTGACGAAGCTTGTGCCCAGCGGGAGGCTGCCTTGACGCCCCAGGATTTCCAGGAGTATCTCTCTTACGAGACGGTGTACGCCAACGGCACCCGCACCCTCACCACAGTGGAACTGAGCCCGCGGGAGAGCGGCCTGGAGAGGAGGTGGCGGAGGCGGCGTGTGCGGCACAAGCGGCAGATTTATGGCATAGATGGGCGGTTCTCCATCAGCGGGAACCACTTCCTGATGGACTACCCCTTCTCGGCTACCGTCAAGATCTCCACAGGGTGCACAGGGGTGCTCGTGTCTGAGCGGCACGTCCTTACTGCTGCCCATTGCATTCACGATGGCAAAGACTACGTGAGGGGGGCCAAGAAGATCAAGGTGGGTTTCCTAACGCCGGTGCAGAGCGCTGGCAACAGGACGGAGAGGCTGGCGATGCGCTGGGCACGTGTGCAGCGCACACGGGTGCCTAAGGGCTGGATTAGGGGCTCCAACTCGGTCAGCATGGACTACGACTATGCCCTTTTGGAGCTGCGCAGGCCACACCAGCGCCCGCACATGAAGCTGACGGTGGCTCCAGCAGTGGAGGAGATGGCTGGGAAGAGGATTCATTTCTCGGGGTTTGACAGTGACCGGCCAGGCGAGCTGGTATACCGCTTCTGCGGGGTGGAAGATGAGACGGCCCACCTCATCTATCAGCACTGTGATGCCAGGCCTGGTGCATCTGGCTCTGGGGTATACGGCAAAGTGTGGGACCCCGTTCAACACAAATGGGAGAGGAAGGTGATCGGGGTCTTCTCAGGGCACCAGTGGCTGGAAGTAGGTGGGGAGCAGCATGACTATAATGTTGCTGTTCGCCTGAGCGCTTTGAAGTTTGCTCAGATTTGTTACTGGATCAAAGGAGACTATAAAAGCTGTCAGAATGAATGAGAACTAGAGCCTTCCTCTTCCCCTCCCCAGTGCAGAAAAGCTTTGAGAGGGCAGTATTCCCAAACAAGTGAGGCTGAGGGGTGTGGGGGGGAGCAGGGCCCTGCTGTTGAGTGAGGAGGAGGGAGAGGATGCCTGCACCATTTCTCGGCAAACTTCTACACTGCTAAACTGTGTTCTGTCCTCTAGCACGGAGGAACAAGCTCTGCAGATCAGAAGGGATCCAGAGGAGAAAGACTCACTACAAAGTCCTGATCCCCTGGAAAGCCCCAAGTGTTTAAGCCCCTTTGGTTGGTGCTAGCGTGAGTTGAGCATCAGCTTTTTTTGCAAAAAGAGCTTGGTTGTCAGCTAGGAAGAACGGCCTCTGCTTGCAGCACATTGCTGCTAATGACTTGAGGAGGCAGCCACATGCTTGCTGCTAAGCCGTACTGAATTCTTCTTAGGTCTCATCGGGTCTCTAGGTTTGTTGGCTGCGCTGCCCGGCTTGGCACTGCCTCCGCTCTGTGAGGACAAAGGGTTTTCTCTTCTAACAGGACCTTTGTGTGCTGATGAAAGGCGCCTGAAAGGCAGCCCTGGAGCCCGAGTCCTGCAGGCCCAGAGCGTGCCACAGCAAGGAGCCTGGCCAGGGTGGGAGGGGTTGCTCCAAGATGCTGTCAGTTGCTGCTGCCTGATCACACTCGGGGCAAGGACACCCCTTCTGACCGATAGAGGGTGGTGTGATGTGGGTACCCCTATGCTGTAGCACGGGCCCAGACCGTGCTTGTAAACTTGTAAGCTTGTAAACTTTCTCATTGATTTTTTGGCTGTTTGGGATTGTATCCTAGAGGAAAGGGACTTTGGCATTTACTGCAGCTGTAGTATTTCAGATGAATCATTTTAGGTGAATACATGCATCTGAATAAAAGGTAACACAAATCTCTCTTTGCAAAGGCCATGTATGAAAGGGGAATGGTGCATAGCTTGCCAGCCTTGGTTTGGGACTTGCTGAAGGAGATATTCTTTCACTAGACTGAAATGAGTGGGACAGGGAGACCTCTGTGTAAAGCTGAAATCTTAGTATTTTACAGCAACAGACTGATGCCTTCTCCAGTAATAAACTAGTCCAAGCACCCGTTCAGATCAAACAGACTTCCACATGTTCCGTCATGTACATAGGACTGAGACCCCCAACAGGAGGAGCAAGTTGAAGGCTTGCCTTATATATCCCTACTCAAGGGACTTTTGCCAATCCAGCAGCGTAATGGCAGATCTCTCTCCCCGTCTTCCTCACATTTTCTCTTTTCCTTGCTACGTTTGCCTAAGAAATATTCTCTCCGTAATTCATATCCTTCACAAAGCACCTCTCACTGATGCTGCTTTCCCAGGCTGGACAGGGGACTGCATATATTTTTCCCTCTTAAGTCAACTTCCTGCTCCTTCTCGCTGCATCTCAGGGGCATCTCGCTGTATCACAGGTTTGTCAACTTGTGTTGTTTCTTAGATTTGCTGAAGGCTTAACATGCAGGTCCTTCAAAACCTGTGACAGTTGTACAGATGCAGCAACCTGACTTGCATAAACAAGCAGGTAGGAGACATTTCAAAAAATTAAATGCAATCCCCCCACCTCAGCTGTCAATGTCAAGTCACCAGGCTAACTCGAGCATTCAAGTAAGTTAAATTGTATGCCTAGTCTGTACATGAGTAGGCAACAGAACAGACAGCATTATCTTGAATAAGATAACGTGAGAGAAATTGTGACTACAGGTTATTGGCCTGGGAGCAGCTGTTATTATTTGCATAATACAAAACCAATTTACAGTCAGAGTTTAACTTGTGCAATGGAATTGGCTGAACCGAGAAGTGCTCGGGGGCGGATCGGAAAGGGTTTTTGGTTCCTCCATAGTCCCTTGTTCAGACCCTAGGCAGAAGTTAAGAGTGTCAGCTCTGGTCTTTATACCTCTCACATAAGGGGAAGAAAGCTTGCTGAAAACACAGGGAAAGGAGTTCCTGGTTCCTTCACCTCTGAAGTGCACACTGGGCCTTTGTATTGCTTTTCAGATTCTGGAACTAACTGCGGTAACAGGAGAGAGAAAGATTTCCTAGAATCTCCTGGTGTGAAACATAAGAACTTGCCTTATTGAGAGCAGCTGTACACTTTTTATAAGCAACTTCCTTCTGATTTCAGCCAGCAGCTATTGCAAAGCACAACAGGAAAGCTAGGAGGAAAAGCTAGTACCAAGAGAGAGGCCAAGAGAAAGACAGCAAGACTCATTTGTGCTCCCTTTTAGTCTTTCTGTTCATGACTTTAAAATGCTAATGGGGCACGCTCCCCAGCTCCTGTCATACCGCTAATGGTTTTGATGCACAAACTGCAGCAGGTACAGGACTCACTGTTTATTTAAAAAATTAAAAGAAATTTAACAAAATCACGCCGAACAGTGAGGATCTGAAAAGCCAGGCAGCACTGGGGTCATCACAAAAAGAAAGGCTCTGCAGGCCTGACCAAGCCAAGGGTTAGATGTGCAGACAAGCACCTCCAAGTGGACAGTAAGACCTTGTTTCACTTCTCTCATCTAAACAGCAATACTGTTTTTTAAGCAGACTGAGATTGTAAATTAGAGATCTGAAACTCTGGTGCATCTCTACAAGGTGCCCAGATACCTGGAGGGCTTTGATGTGGGTAAACTTCCCAGAAGTTCCATTTGAGAGCGACCATGGCTGCAGCCAGCCTGGAGGAAGCCAACCGCTCAGCTGCAACGTGAAGAGTATGTCCTGGCACAAGGTCAGCGTGACACGCTGCACTTCTTCTTACCCAGAATCCTGCAGAGCTGTCCGTTTTTTCCCTTGTTGTCCTGTATCAGCACAGAACATCCTCTCTAGCCCAGAAGGAAGGGGGGATGAACACATGTATATCCACAGTCTAAGGAGAGTCCCCTTTTGCTGGAACTTGGATTTCACTCCCTACCCCAATCCAAAATGCAAGTACAGGGCTAGCTCTGGAAGGACAGAGCCCTCTATGAGCTAGAGCCCATGAGGCGTTTAATAGATTGCAGGCTGATGGTTTGCCTTCTGCATCTGAATGATCTTGCCAAAGCCGCCTCTTCCCACATCGTAGTCTGTCCGGTACTCATCTCGCACCTGGGGCACAGCAGTAACACGCGTTAGTACCCTGTACTGCCTTTCTCCCAGTAGACTTCAGAATCATCATCCCTTCCTTGCTGCACTGGTGGGGAACTGAAATTTGGGTTACAAGTTCTTTGACTTGTTCAAAATCTCTTTAAAGAATCCACCAAAAAATTGCTGGTGGTAGTGAAAACAACAAACAAGGATACAACAGATTGCTAAAGGTCTTTTTAAACAAAAAACAAAGAAGATCCAAAAATATTCTAATTCAACTTTGCAGTTAGCTTTCTGAATCAACAGAAACATTTACCCCTCCCCCCCGCCACCCTCCAGGAAATCTGCAAAGGAATCTCACCTTCTCACTGGGGCATGCTGCTGGATTATGAGATTGGCCTAGCAACTACACTGCCCCCCCCCCAAATTTCAAATTCTGCATCATTTTAGGAGTATTGGCTCAGGAATAAGGCAAATTCTGTTTGCAGAGCCAGAAAGATTGGAGTCCCAGCCAGAAACTGCCTTAAGCTCTACTTAGAGCTGTAAACACCAGGGTAGCTCAGTTATCAAAACCACCAGGGAGTGTCTAAAATTCACTATTGGGTCTTCATTATCTGCACTTTATCTTGAATAAGACAAAACTGGCAAAGCAGCACCCAACTTTAAGGAAAACAGGTTCAGGGTCTGAACTAGTGTTCTCTTTACCTGTCCTCCAGTCTTTCCTCTCCCATACTGTCGCCCTTCCTTAAATCCTGCATCCCAGTCAGTTCGAATGATGCGGTCATCTAGTCTGGTGCCATTGATAAATCGCATTGCGTGTTCAGCATCTGCTCTTGTGTAGTATCTGAAACATACTGTAAGGAAAACTAAACGTGCTATTTTGTTGGGTGGGGGGGGGGAGGAAGAGAGAACTATTGTATTTGAGAAACAGAGGAATCCTGCCTTCCAGCCTAAAACACTGCTCTTTTTTATGGCATCAAAAGCTACCTTCATATAAATGCAAGCTGAAAACAGCCCCAATTCCTGCCTAAGATGCTACACTTTAATGTGAGTACCTGTACAGACAAGAAGTAGTTTTGGATCACTTATTTCAGAAGTAGATGAAACAAATGTGTTAAAGCTTTGCTACAGGCAAGAACGCTGTAATATGCCTTTTTATAGCATATGAAACTTGACTGAATTTGAATAAGATGAGCAGGCCTCCCAGGAGAGCTTTGCAAAGGCAGCTCACAGTACAACTTGTACAAGCGTGTACCCTGTGCTCGGGAGTAGTGCCATGGATTATTCTACTAGTTCATTCAGGTGTGAAGTTAAGGTGAGAAAATGAACATGTGCTCTTAATTTTCACCACACAACAGGTCTGACTGGTGATTTCTTTTTGGGCCCTAAAATCTGCTAAATGAATGAATGAAAGGTGCTCTCTGCTGCCTCCCAAAAATACAGAAGTGACAGTACTTTTCACTTACGGTCCTGCAGTAAGACCTGCCTCTGAACGAGGGCAGAGGGGAAAAAAAAGCAGAGAGGACACAAGAAATGTGCTTGACAGCCAGAAGGATGGAAGGATCGACAGGGAGAACCTGAGTTTTGCTCCCTCTTTCAAGTTTTGCGCGCTTGCTTCCCAGAGAGGGACTAGGGGTGGCACCCACAAGCCAGCTGGCAGTAGCAGGGAAGCAGGGAGGATACTCTACGAAGCAGAAGCCGCAGGGAGTTTTCTTGATCTTGTCCAGCCCCATGACAATCCTCTTGACGTCCCCGCACTTGGAGAAAAGCTCCTGGATCTGCTCCTCGGTGGTGTAGAAGGACAGGTTGCCCACGTACAGCGTGGAGGAAATTTTGAGGGATTTCTCCTGCAGCTGCCTGCTACCCTGAGGGCAGAGACGAGCACACAGCGGGGTGAGCTATACCACCACAGTCCCGGGGCTCCGGGGGGCACCTCCGCCGGGCCCGGGGACA